TTTTTTTTGGTTAAAAATTACTTTGGGGTAAATTTGTCACAAGTGTACCAGTTTGGGGTCTTTCGTGATATTAACCTTATTTAGAATGGATTCGGCATGTACCATTGGAAGTCAAGGGAATTATTTGATCAGTTTTAAACCTATTGTATGTATGTCAATTTAATTATAAACTTTTCAATTTTGTCAATTTAGTCCTAAACATTTGCACGAAATTCTAACGAAATCCTTCTGGCCAATTTTCGGTGAAAATCGCTGACATGGCGGTGTGCCATGTAGGTCGGCCGGCGATGACTAATCCACCATGTCGGTGATCTTTCCGGTGAAATTGAAAAGTTTAGGAATAAATTAATATCTGTACAATAAATTTAAGACTGATTGAATAATTTTCCCCTCGAAAGATTACCCTTTCGGGTATATAATGCCACCGGCTCGAAAAAACAATTGGGCTTGTTCCTGTCTTCACATGGGAGTGGCAATTTTAACGGTGAGTCACGGCTTCTTTCTAGGCCACTACTATTTTTTTGTCCAAATTTATGCAATGTTTGCGAGACTAGGGGAAGAAAATTTCAAGAGATGGCGGTCCTAATTTCTTTTTCAAAATTTTTTCCTCAATTTTTTTTTTCAAAAAAATAAACCTTTTTTAATTTTTTCACTAAAAAACTTTAATTCTCTCCATTTTCTTTCATTTTCCAAACATTGCATCAAATCTCACCTAATTCCGCAATCTGTGATTTAGGTGAAAGAAATTGCTGAAAATGAAAAAAAAAAGAGAGCCTAAAAACAACTTCAAACTTTGGAATAAAACGATGATGAGGTGATGGTTTTACCATATTCGACATATTTACAAATTTTCGAGGATCCAATGCAGAAGATCTTGTAAGTGATCGCGAGGTACCGCAATTTTTATGCCGGAGGTTCGACGATATACCAAAGCACGATATTTTTAAGACGGTGGCTCGGCCTCTCGACAGAAACCGCGTCGGCGAGGCAAACCTTAGACTCGAGGGCATTCATTATGTAAAATATATGGATATCACAGGGGTATTTGGGGAAAAGTAGAGAACCAAAGCATGTCCAGGACAGTGTGGTGGTGGGGTCAAGCTTTCCAATCTTTTGCTTTAGGAGCCGACTATCTTTTTTCTGCTTTTTGTAAAATTCCTTTTAGAATTCGACCTCTTTACTTCACCCGCACACCTTATCAAAAATACCTATAGTATATCTAGTTGATGTTTAGGACATGCTTTTTTATATATAATTTCGGGGATGCCTGGGGCGCATCGTTAGATATAGATAACGACGGTTTTAATTTGAAGAAGAAATTACACCGGATTTCTAAATAGGTGGGGCCTACACGAATACGGAAATTAATATCACGTTGGATTTTTAGACGGGCGAGACACATGCACAAAATGACCGGGGGTTCGATATAAATCTTTGTCGAGTCTGGTAGTAAACGGAATTCAATGAAGACGACGCAGCACCATTCGGATTACTCTAGGAAAAAAATTCGATAAAATTAATATCCTAAAAGTATTTGCTATTTAGGCATTGTTTGTTTGCTGGAAAATGAATGATTTGAAAGATATTTTTCTAAATATGATAAATTGTATAGCTTAAAAAAAAGAACAAACAAAAAATATTTTCATCATTTACAAAAATGTTTGGCCATAAATTGTTATCAATAATGAAAATATTTTTCATTAATTAATTATTCTAAGCGATATAAAAGATCATGTTTATAATCATTCGTTTTTCTAGTGAAACAAACGCAAAACAGAGCCTTAGGGTACGTTTGTTTCCCGAAAATTGAATGATTTAGAAAACATTTTCCTAAATTTAATTGCTTGAAATAATTAGTAAAAAAAAAGTTTTCATCATCGATAATAATTTATATCTAAATATTTTTGCGGACGATGAAAATATTTTTCGTTTATTCATTTTTGTAAACGACACAAACGATCATTTTTAGGAAAATATTTTTAAAATCATTCATTTTTCGAGAAACAAACCCAGCTTTGGTCTCTGTGGCCTTTATAGTGAAAGTGGGTTTGCAATAAAAATATCCCTTTTATATTATTTAAGGGGGTCATCAACAACCCTTTTGATAAGTTAATTTGTTTACATGTTTTTTAAATGCAAAGTTTGGCAGATTTTGCCCAAACAGAGATCTTGTTACATTATATTATTTGGATCTTATTGAGGCGGCTTAATCTAACACGCCTAAGATCTCAACTAAACCTCAACAGAAAGGAACGGGAACCGCTATTTCCCCGCAGCCGAAATTGCTCCGGGCACAACGTTTTTGCTGAAGAGACGAGATTGCCCTTAATATGTAGTGGGGGCCCCTGACTACTTCTACCGCCGAACGCGGGAGCCTCCTGTAGCTATAGCTTTCACGGAGGAACGATTTCAGGTTAAATTGGAAGAAGTCAACGTTTTCAAGAACCTGCCAAGAGACTTTTTGGGCTTCCTGCTAATAAAACAATGGTCGATTTCAATATATTTGGCATTTTCACTTGATATGTTTTTTTTTTATCTTTCCTGCTTTTCGATTTTGGCCGGCGTTGATTGGACCGCCGGCATCCATATTCGTAATTCTTCACAGAATTTGGCCGGAATGACTATATTGGAAAACCGTAAAAAAAGCTTATGACTAAACTGGTATACCCGTGATAGATCGATCCTAAATTAATTTTTTGACCACAAAAAACCTCGAACTGGTACACTTGTGACAAATTTACCATCCATAAAATTGAATTAATACCACGAAAAATCACAAATTGATAAACTTATGACAAACGGAGGGGTAAAACCCCAAACTTGTATCCCGTCAATTATTACGTGTCATCCAACTCATTAATTTGATGGTCAAATTTAATGGAAACTAACGGAGAGTAAATTTATCACAGGTGTACTAGTTTAGGATTTTTGGTGGTCAAAAAATTAATTTGGGGTAAATTTATCACGAGTGTATCAGTTTGGGGGTCTTTTGTAGTATTAACCTAAATCGAAAATTGTAAGATTGAATTGATCACCGTACAAAAGGTCGCGAATTAAAATGGTCATGGAGTCACTTCACATGGGGTTACGTTGCTAGGTGTATTTTGGTCGACTCACTTAAAGAGATGGGCCATGGAAATAGATCCACCCAAAGAGAATTTATATATATAATTGCAATTCAAAAAAGTCAACAAGATAATCAAAATGTGATTTCTAAAGCCTCTTACGGTTTTCAAAATAGAATCTTTCCAATTTCGCGAAATCTAATCCCATTTTCTATCTAAAAAAAGATAAAATATTTCCGACTTTATCTCTTTCTTCAATTGTTAAAATTATTTTTCCGCTATTTTTCTCGGACAAGACATGTGTGCTCCTTTGCTAGTACATATACATTATAAACATATAATCGAATAATTTTATTTCCCTTTATTCGTAAATAAATCTAATCGGCCAATCTCTTGAAAAGAAAAAAGAGATGCTATTTGCAAAGCCTGCATGAGATACTCCTCTATATATTAAAGTCATCCGCATTCCATGCACTTTGACTGAACAAAAGTAGTGTGAATCATACTTTTGTGATGTCATAGGAATACCACCTCATTGGCATGTTGGCTTAGTTTGTTTCGTGAAAAATAAATAATTTAAAAAATAATTTGAAATAAAAAAGATCGTTATTATCGCTTAAAAAAATGAAAGATTGAAAAATATTTTCATTATCCATGAAAACGTATAAACATTAATTACTGTCGATAATGGAAACTTTTTTTGTTGATTTATTATTTCAAGCGATACTAGCAATTACACTTCTCTCGTGCTTGCACTCCTTGAATTTTTTAAGCATTCGACATGGATATTTACAATTTATTTTATACCCTCGAAAGATTTTGTACAAATCAAAGTTAACTTACTTACGGGCACCGATTGAGAATGAGAATAGAGGTAAAGAAACTTCTTCCGGCACGGGGCCATGAGACCGATACAAGGCATCTCGAAGCTCCCCGTTTCGATTCCCTCGATCGGCCTAAACCCCTAATCCTCGCTTACGTAGTCGAAACCACGTAACGAATCCGATCACGAAGAGAACCCCCGACGCAGCAAACATTTGCGCTTAGCAGTTTTTCTGCTCGAACTCGACTCGACATTCAAGAGGGATTAAAATGGTTGGGAAAATAATACAAACGGTTCATGAAATTTCGCCCAATGTGAAATGTGGTCTGTGAACTTTTAATTTATTTAATATAGTTTCAAAACTAGCCCAATGTGTTATATGGTCCCCGGACTTTCGGTTCAATTTAGTTCCTGAACTATAAGAAAATGTTCAATATTGTCTATGAACTTGATATCAAACATTTTTATATAGTTGAGAGATTAAATTGAATATGTACTAAAAATTTTAGAGATAATATTAAATAAATTAAAAGTTCATAGGGACCATTTATGTTATTAGGCTTAGCCGTGAAAGGGAAAGAGAGAGGAGGTGGGGATGCCCATAGAGCTTAGAGCAGTCAGGCGAGGGCAATTGTGTAATTGCACGGAGCAACGGGAGCTCCGGGTGGCACTAACGTAATAAAGGAGAACATGGGGGTCCATTAAATGGGAAGCCCCCACAGATTCTGTTTCCAGACTCATGTAGTTATATTCCTGCTTCGCCTTTTTCTCTCTCTCTCCATCGCCTCCCCTCCTCCACCGCCACCACCCCCCTCTCCAACTTTTCCTTTTCTTCACTGCCCTGCTCCCCCTGCTCTTTTGACCGTTGCCCCTCTCTCTCTCCTCTCTCCTCTCTCCTCTCTCTACCAACGTCTCTCTCTCTCTCCCTCTCTCTCTGTGCACTGTGATAAGCCATCTCCATCATCACCATCTTCCTCCCTCCCTCCTCCATCCTCCTCCTCCTCCTCCTCCTCCCTCGCTCGCAACGGTCCAGGTACGCGCCGCCATTCTCCACCCACAAAAATGCCGTCTTTTGCACTTCCGTCTTCTCTCTCTCTCTCTTCTTTGCGTTATGCCCAGTGGCATGTTTGTCTTGCAAGCAGATGGGTCCTTTCCCTTTCCCTTTCCTTTCCTTTCCTTTCGTTTCTTTCCTCGGTTCTGTCTCTGCGCCCGCTTTGTTTAGCTTGGGCTCTCGTGAGCGGTGTTCTTGTTGTTGTTCCTGTTGTTGTCATCAGAGAGAGTCTTTCTCTGTCAGGGGAGGAAAAAATATTTATGGGTTCTCTGGAATTCTTCTTCTCATCTCCGTCTGGGAAATGTCTGAGCTGTGTAGATATTCGTCTTTGGTACGTGGACTCTCTGTTTTTCAGCCTGTAGATTTTCTTGCAGCTAAGACGATCTTCAGGCTAGCCTGTACACTACACGTTTCAATTCTTCGATTTTGGCCCAGAAAAATGTTTTCTTTTTTGCACCCCCCCCTCTCTCTCTCTCTCTCTGTGTCTCTCTCTGTGTCTCTCACAGTTGTTTAAGCTACTTTATCTCCATTGTCTTTCACCAGGTCCTGTTCCTCACTCGCACGTAGCAGCTTTAGATTGGTACCTGAGGAATAATACCTTTTATCTTCTTTTGTTTTGCGTGTCTTCTCTCACTTCTTTTTTTCCTTCAATTTCTGTTTTTCCGCCTGTTCCCTCGCTCCTTTTCTAGTCGGAATTGTCCTGCAAAGCGATTGCCCGTTCTTTTCTGCGTTTGACTGTACTTCTTCACAATGCCATCTTCCCATCAATTTCTTTTGCCTTCTATTTATCACCAGCTTCTTTCTTCTTGATTGGGCTCTTCCTCTTTTTGTTTGTTTGGGGGCACCGGGATCTAACGTTTGCTTTATTAAGGTGTAGCTCCGCGCTTTGAGGGGCCATGAGGTTTTTAAGTGTCTCATTGTTTTCGTTGTCTTTAGCTGTTGAAGTTTGTTCCGCTTGTTTGAGCTTTGCTCTTTTCAGTTGGAGAGTGCTTAGCAGAATCTTCATTTCTTGCTTCTTAATGTAAGCCGCATGTTGTTGTTCCTAGTCCCTGTCCATGACTTTGAATTTAAGAAAAGCACCCTTTAAATTCTTTTTTCTTAATATTTTACACATAAAGCTGCGTATGTAGATTTTGCCTGATATGCTAACTGATTATTTTTGCTTTCTTAATGTATGTTTTTAATTGCTCCTTAGATATTTCGTGATTAATCTCGAGCAGCTCGCGAAGATCCTCATGTATCTGGTGATAAGCATAAGAGAAAACCCTTGCGAATTCCATTTCGATTTGCATTTAAAAAGTTCATAGAGCGAATAGAGTTGAAATCTGAGGTGCAAGATGGGATGTTCCACATCGAAGCTTGACGATGAAGAAGCGGTCCAGCTATGTAAGGATCGGAAGCGATTCATTAAAGAGGCTGTCGAGGAGAGAACTCGGTTTGCTACTGGACATATAGCTTACATTCAGTCCTTGAGAAGAGTTTCCGCTGCTCTTCGGGGTTACATTGAAGAGGATGAACCGCGAGAGTTCTTCCTGGGTTCGTTTTCAACCCCGACATTTACGCCAATAAAGAAAAGTAGCAATGGTTTCATTTCAATCTCTCCGAGTTCATTCTCTCCGGCGCAAATTGAACCAAAACCAAAGTCATCGTTGAAAGTGAATTATCTAAGGACAGGCGGGACTCCAGCAGTTTCCATCACGGAGAGACCTCGGTCGCCGGAAACAGTCCATGTTCAGACTTATTCTCCAATTCATCAAATGGGCATTGATGGATTCTTTCCAGCGCATCCCTCGCCTCCTAATCCTTCGTACTATTCTTACTCCCCCAACAATAGACCCAATTTTCCTCCTCCATCGCCTCGATCTTCACAGTGGGACTTTTTTTGGAACCCATTTTCATCCCTGGACTACTATGGATACCCCACTCGGAGTAGCATTGATCATATGGCTATGGACGATGAGACCAGAGGACTGAGGCAGGTCCGAGAGGAAGAGGGGATTCCAGACTTGGAAGAAGAAACTGAGCATGAAGAATGTGATAACCACTCGAATGTTCATGAAGATAGAGGCAATAGAGATGTTAATTTCGCGACCGAAGAAGTTTTAGTGGAAGATGTTGATGATGAGGAAGAGGATGAGGAAACAGATGACAGCTATGAATCCGAGGATGAAGTCAAAGGGCTACAGTCCCATGGTAGTCAGAGCATGGAAGTAGTACAGCCGCCACAGAATGTTGGAAAAGTGGAAGTAACTAATCGAGAAGCAGCAGCTTCTAAAGAAGTGCCGGGTTTCACAGTTATTGTAAACCGAAAGCCGACGAGCATGGCAGAAGTCATCAAAGAGCTGGAAACTCAATTCACACATATTTGCAACTCAGCAAGTGAAGTCTCATCGCTGTTAGAGGTCGACAGAGCCCAGTACTCAAGCTCAAGCGAACTGACAGGTTAGATTATCTTATGCCATTTCTCCTTGGTTTACTTTCAGCTTTTGATCGCAATTTTTTGCATATACTAAATTTTTCCGATGATATTTGACATCTTAGATCAGCTTTGTGTGTACTTTAGAGAGGGGCATTGCTGTTCAGACCGAAAATTGATTCCTCAAGCATTCACAGATAGCAGTTATGTCTTAGCTTTTTTCCCCTATGATAGTTGAGAAAATCTTTGATCAGTTTAAGTGATACTTCATAAATGAGCAAATGGCAGTTGGTGTAATTTCATGAGAAAGTCAGGGCAATTGAGGTGTGAGTAAATCGGACTGTTTCGGCCCACAGTCATCATCAAATCTGTTTGTAATTTATGTCACAAATCTTACTGTTATTATGGAACTGTTTGGTGAAGGTGAACATTTTGAGTATGTAATTATCACGACCTAAAAGTATTGATCTCTGTTGTTGCAGCAATGAGGATGCTGAATCCAGTGGCTCTGTTTTGGTCTGGTTCGTCACGCTCATCCTCGTCAAGATTTTTAATGAGTTCTTCAAGTTCTAAAAATGACAGTTCTGAGAGTAACAGCGACTTTTCAGATGAGTCGTGTGTTTTTTCCAGTGGTCATCAGTCAACAATGGATCGATTATATGCCTGGGAGAAGAAACTCTATGAAGAAGTCAGGGTATGATGCGAGACTTCTACAGTAGACTTCAACTAGAGGCTTTTCTAGCACAAAGTTGAGAATTGATTCCAATTTCTTTTTTCATAATATTTGTGAAAATGGAGAGGAGATAACAGTAAAAATATGAGTCAGTTTTCTTGTTGATACCTGGAGGTGGTGGCACTGGCTCGCTACCTTTAGTACTTTTGAGTTTGCATGAAGCCGAAAAATGGATTCCTAGATAGGCTAGTGGTTTTCCTTTTCTCCTTAACATTTTGTTGATCAAGCTTACTACCAGCTTACCTGATTTTTTCATCCTTTCTTCAAGAGTGAGATTTTAGTAATGTAAAGGGTCGCCTCTATCCCTGCTTCTGCCAGTAACATAATGAATCAATATCTTAACGTTGTTGTATCTTATATCTAAGATGATGGATGAGACTGATATTATATTGCTTTTCACATTGACAATAGTCTGGAGAGAGAGTTCGGATTGCGTATGAGAAGAAATGCTCGCAGCTGAGGAATCAAGACGTGAAAGGAGAGGATCCTTCATCTGTGGATAGAACGAGGGTGGCCGTCAGAGATCTACATACTCAGATAAAGGTATCCATACACTCAGTAGAAGCCATTTCAAAAAGGATCGAAACTTTAAGGGATGAAGAATTGCAGCCTCAGCTTGTAGAATTGGTGCAAGGGTACGTAGGTCTAACCAAATTGAGCTCTTTTATTTATCGTTCCAAACCATTTTGTACAGATGACAGAGAGATGGCATGACAGATGTTTCAAACCTGCTTTATTAGATGATAGTATGACTATTTTTAACATGTCATTGCTGGTGATTGTGAAAACGTAGCTTCATTTGTACTATGACAAGCATAGTAAACCACATGCTAAAAGTGTCATCCATTGATTCATGGGCCATTTCTTTCAGTACTTTTTGTAATAGTTCTTTGCCCTGATGTGCATCTTAAGAAAACTTCTGCCCTTCCACCCCAGTACAAGTCTTGTGCCTGTTCTTTATTCATTCTTTGTCCTTGTGACTGGATTACAAACTCATCATGAAGACAAGATTCAGTCCCAAAGCCTCAGTTCTGTCATTGGAAGGATTTTAGTTCTTGCAAAACTGCAAAGAAAGACAAATCTTTGACGACTTCATAGTGAAGTCGTGTTAATTAATGAAGTGGTGTCACATTTGATTTATTGAATGAGTCCCTATCTGTACAGTTTCTAATAATCTCTTATTTATCTTGGGTAAAGCAACTGTATCCATAGTAACATTAACTTGCAGTGCTATTATACCTGAGATGAGTTGGAGACAATCTTTTGTAGAAGTGTGTTTGTAGAAGTGTGTATGAACGAAAAAATATTGCTGAACCTAGTTAAATATATATCATCAATTTCTGATTGCAGGTTATCAAGGATGTGGAATGTAATGGCAGAGTGCCACCAATTACAGAAACGGACCTTAGACGAGGCAAAAATCTTGCTGGCCGGCACACCTTCCAAACTCGAAGCCAAGAAAAGATCTTACATGTCTATGACGGATCCAAACAGGTTGGCCCACTCGGCGTCCAATCTTGAGACTGAGTTAAGGAACTGGCGAGCCTGCTTCGAATCGTGGATCGCTTCTCAGCGATCTTACATGCGTGCACTCACAGGATGGCTCCTCCGATGTGTGCGGTCCGACCCCGACACCTCGAAAATGGCATTCTCTCCTAGACGGTCAAGCGGGACCCTGCCCATCTTCGGTCTTTGCATCCAGTGGTCGAGATTCCTCGATTCCATCTCGGAGATCCCAGTGCTCGACGGTCTAGACTTCTTCGCAGCTGGGATGGGGTCGATCTACGAGCAACAGATCAAAGACGATTCCGGGAATACCCTGGGTGGATCAAAGAGGTTCGGAGGGGGATCAAGCGAGGAAAACAGCGGGGGCATGGACATGGTGGAGTTTAGTCAGGTTGAAGAGGTGATGACACCTGAGAAAATGGCCGACGTAGCCATAAGAGTTCTGTGTGCTGGAATGTCGGTTGCAATGAGCTCACTGACGGAATTCGCTGTGGCGTCCGCTGATGGTTACGCCGAGTTGGTCAAGCAATGGGAGCATGCCCAGAGGCTGCATATCACAGCAGGGTCAACTGTGTAGCCTCTTTTTCCTTTTGTTTTTGGACAGATTTGCATTTGTAGGGTAGTTCAACTAAGGTTGTCAATGTAATTAGAGTATATATACCATGTTTTATACAATGTCAGCAACTAGTGTAGACTTGTTATGCCAAGAAAGAAGAGCAATAGTCTGAGAGTTTTAATCTAATTAAGCAGAGCCTACTTTTTATTGTCTTGACTTGCTTCACTTGATTTTGCAAATCTATCGGGGATTCGGTTAGCAGGGCACTGAAAGTCTTTCTCGATCATCACACAACACGGTTCTGACATCATCCATGTCATTCTGACTAAGTCTGAGAAATGCCTAGAACATTGAGAAAGTCAGAAAGTAAATTAATGGTCTGAAAGTAAACACAAGAAGATAAAGTGACTATTTTACTTTTGGACCTCTATTGTGCCTGTTGCTGATGGGCACAATTTTTTACTTGGAAATCCCGAGGAAATCACATGAATGGTGGAAGAAAGGCCATGTTTTTGGGTTTCCCTAGACTGCAAGGCCGAAAGGAAGGACAGTTTTGTTGTATCCGATGTGGTATTTCTCGTCCTTACGTTGCAGTTGAATCCGTGACCACGACCGGCCTATTATAATTGCCGTTAGATTTGCTCCAAGTCCACCTGATGCTGAAGTTCAGAAGCTCACACTGCCGCAGAAGTATCCCGACAATTTAAATGGCTTTTGGTAAAACAAGTAACAGAATGCAAGGTTGATTTTTCAGTTTTAGATGAAGTACCAAGCAAAGAAGCAGCTGTATAAGTTTTTATTCTTCTTTTTACAACCTTTCTGTAGAGTAAAAAATGATAAAGACTTACTGCCCGACAGACACCTCAGCTACGAAAGAACTTGCGTACAGCGTGAATCACAGTAACGATATGAATGCTCAACTAGAAAGCTGCAGTAAACGATGCGGATGGTCATTTTTTCTCTCAGCAAGTCTTGAATCAGTGCAGTCCTGATTCCAGTCTTGGTGCAGTCACATTGCATAACTAAAGATTTTAAGATCTTGGCCGAGTAGGTTGTATAATCTTGTCAGCTCTATCCAAGACATGGAGAATCTCGAGAAATTTTTCTTTTCAAAGAAGCGGCAGTGTGTAGATATCAAGAGGGCAAGAAAATTTGCAACACTAAGGAAAAATCAACTCTGTGAAATCCATCGACTCTGCTTGCGAGTTCAATCTGAGTAGTCCTAGTACAAAATGATCTGCTCATAATGCTAGACCTAGCCAACAAGGTAACAGAATCCCGTCTAGCTTATGCACTAGTGTCTTTCATATGCCAAAACATCTTGTTACATTATCACTGCTGTCATGAGAAGAAGAGACTGCTTGTTTCAATCGAAGAAAAGTCGATACGCTTGATCGAGAAGATTTTACATTTCCAGTGGAAGTAGGATGTGGAATCAAAGAACACATTTTCTTCCGAGCACGCAGAAGGATGTACATTTGAAGTAAAAACAATCCTACTCGACCCACTGACGTTCTTGACCAAACACTAAACATTTCTTGCTTGTCGCGGTCGGGAAATAGAAAGAAAAAGGAAAAGCTAGCTTCTTATTTGTCTATGCTAAATGCAAGACGGCAGGTTCCGTACGCTGCGAGATTCTGCCGTTCACGTTGGTACAAAACGATTATGTGGGCCCTGCGCTGCCGGGGTAAGCGAGGTCGATGTTGTCCAGAACGATGTTCTTGCAAGGCACGTTCGGGCTGCATACGAGGTTGATGGCCACCTGCGAAGCCGAAGTGGCCCCTATCCTCGTGAACCAGACCTCCTTGATCTGAACATTCGACCCCGGCTATAGAGAGAGAGAGAGAGCTTATCCGGTATCGCACTGGTTAGCGAGAGTAACGTATGAAATGAGAAACGTGATCAAGTATCAACCCAATTCAAGATTAATTGCCATAGCTAGATGTAAATGTACCTGCTTAGAACAACCACCAACTGGACAGTACCTGTTAGTGGTCTGCCCTAGAAATCAATCAAGGTTGATACTCTAATATTAGTTGTGGATTAGGTTGTGTCGGAAAATCGACCTTCACTATACTTAGGTAGTCATAATATCTTGCTAGAGACCGCTTATGACTTGTGGGTCAAAAAGAGTTTTGAGCACACTGCTAATGTTTAGTGAACCTACAAGGTCGCACACAAAAGCGAACTGAGTTAATATTTTCTGTGCGCCGGGATCTACTTAAAATAAGAAGTAGATTTTAATTTATTCTCCTATTCAACTTATCTACGCGGTCGTGCGCGTTATGAGATAACGATTAAATGTACGATTGAAGGTGGACGGTTTGGCGAGCCCAAATCGCCTGGCTCACTTCTTTTAATTCCGCTGGATAATGAGGCTGTATAAATAGGTAGAGAATCGTTCTCTGTCTAGGGTTTTTCGACAGAGTATCGAAAATCAAAAGGCGTTGAAGAAAATGAACTTCAAGATCTTTAGCTAGCACTTGGATCGTTGGAGATTTCTGTTCGAGTGTGTGGATACCGGTAGAGGCGCAACACTTGGGGCGTTAATCCAGACACAATCAATTGTTAATTTACGTTCGATCGGCAAAAGGTACGTATCGAACTTCTCTCTCGATTTCAATATACACATGGATCCTGTCTAGGTTTCTAGGGTTTCGGTTTACATAGATATTCCGCTGCGTTTTTACCGTTAATGAACCCTACGTCGAACCCTACAGTACCATTGGTCAATAATAATGGGACTTTGCCCATCCTTCATGGTAATGTCATAAAACGAGATATTGTACGCATTACTTTTGAGCAGAGAAGCCCAAGATTTGATCCTCACACGATTCTGAGTGCCAACGATCTCCACGTCCCTGGACCCCGGCCCAATAGAGACGCAGTCGTCTCCGGTCGAGATCACGGAGTCGGCGATCTTGATGTGGGACGAGTCGCCTATGTGGATCCCGTCCGTGTTTGGGCTGTCTTCAGGGGCGATTATGCGGACACACCGAAACTCGAGAGCATCGCGCCGGAAGATGAGGAAGTGGAAATTCTTGCTGTTGATCGAACTTATCTTGCGGATCCATGTGTTGACGTAATTGAATCTCACCGACCGGGAAAAGATTAGAGAGTCGTTAGAGACTCGCCGGAGATGCATCATTTGAATCGAATCATGAATGAGTAAATTTTTTTCCCAAATTTATCATGCAGTTAGATAAATACTATACACATATATTTCCCAAATTGTAATTAACTTCTTTTTTTTATATATATTAAAATGTCCAAATTTATTTGAAAAGGAAAGTAAACACTAATTTTGAGAAAATCAAGTGACACTAGGTGAACATGAACATATCTACATGGGAATGATGATCTTGGCTCGGGCAAATGAAGTCAAGACTTGCCAAATTTCCCGGTAATATCGGAATTAAAGTGAAAAAAGAACACAAAAAAGTAATTAATTAATTGTCCAGGACCGTCTTATTTGAAAATGAATATTAATTTTGGATATGATGATGGGTGTTCTTTAAACTCGCCTTTACACATTAAATGTAATTACCGGGTGCTAATTAATTAAAGGTTAATACCATAAAAAATCCCAAACTAGTACACCTATGATAAATTTATTCCGTACTAAGTTTTTGATTACCAAAAACCCAAACTGGTATTCCTGTGACAAATTTACTCAAACTAATTTTTTGACCACAAAAAATCCCAAACTGGTACATTTGTGACAAATTTACCTTCCGTTAAATTAGATTAATATCACGACAAACCAAAAACCAGTATACTTGTAAACTCCAAACTAGAACATCCGTTATCTATCATGTGTCTTCCAACTCAGCAATTTGATTGTAAAAATTTAATGGAAACTAATATAGGGTAAATTTGTTAAAAGTATATCAGTTTTGGGTTTTTTATGGTAAAAAAATTAGTTTGGGATAAATTTATTATAAGTGTACCAGTTTGGATTTTTTTTGGTATTAACCAATTAATTAATGAAAAAGCTAATCGAAATTATTTTGTCTTTTTTTTTAATTAACAAAAATAAGAAAAGTAGGAGGGGAGCTCACGACTGGAATCAGGATTCTTAGCGCAATCATTGTAAGGCCTAGGGGTGATCGGTTCCCGGTTCGGTCCGGTTCCAAGGTGGAACCGGGAACCGAACCGAGAGAACCGGTTCCCAATTTTGGGAACCGCGGACGGGACCGGTTGGTTCTAGGACCGGGAACCGGACCGGACCGCCGGTCCGGTCCGGTTCTGGTCCGATTCAATGGAACCGGTCACTTAGAGTTTATTTTTTTTTTTTGTTAAACACTTAAGGTTTGGTTCACATTTTACTAATTTTTGTTAATGAATTTATGTCAATGAAGTTCACGTAGGGTTTAATTCACATTTTACTAATTTTTATTAATGATTTTATGATAATGAAGTTTACTTAGAGTTTAGTTCACATTTTATTAATTTTTTTAAAGAAAAAAAATATATATATATTAAATAGTCGGTCCGGTCCGGTCCGGCTCCCCTTGGAACCGGGAACCGGACCGCCCGAAAACCGGTTCCGCTTTTAGGAACCGGGAACCGGACCGATAGTCTCGAGAACCGGACCAAACCCGTCGGTCCGGTCCGGTCCGGTCCCGGTTTGGGCGGTCCAAGTTGCTCACCCCTAGTAAGGCCAAGCTTCCTGCCCCTGCTCGTCGAACGTACCATTGCCGTTGATCAACAGCCCGCCGACGGACGGGAAGGCGATCCAACGGTCCAAGGAGAACGTTGACTTGTCAACGGGCTATTTGACCACCCCTTGGACCGTGAACATGACGGGGCCCAGTGCATGGGCCCTTGAGCACCACGGGCCAACGAGAAATGCCTAGAAAAAGAAAATTAATAATCACTTCAAAAGAAATTAAGTTTTTTTTTTTGATAACCGAGGTGTCCGCGCGGCCGACGAGTTAGGGCTCAAATCAGCGGTGATGCCCGACTAGTCCTCGAGGGGGGCTAGCGCAGCATCCTACCGCCACGACCCCCCACTTAAATCACCGATGGGCGAGTTTGAACCCAGGACTTCTCGTGATATTTAAACCCTTTATAACGCGATATTTAATTATTTCGAAGATTGTATATATTATATCTTTCTTTTAAACCAATTTCCTACTCGCGGGTGCGGTCGCATTTTCATGTAAATAAGCCGTACCAAGTCT